TGACGAAGAAGATTTTGAGGAAGTTAATAACAAGGGTAAAGAAATTCTTGGAACTGAAGATCAACAAAGAAAACTTGTCAATCAAGTGAAAATGGCAATAACAACAAATATGTGATGAATTTTATGTTACCATAATAACATATGATATAGAAAATGATAAAAGATACGTTGTCGTTTATATATTTTTTATTTTGTTACAAATTTAAGCTTATCACAAATCCATTTGACAGATTTACAAGAATTCAATTATTTTGATTTTGAAATCTATTTCATTGATTCTAAAATCTACTTATTTGATTTTAAAATGTGTGGATTTGTCAAAAACTTCAAAATCCAAGAAGGATTTCTGAATCTATAAAATACTAGAACCAATAACCCCCACTAAAAGGAGCATATGAAGAGCAGTTAGCCTATCCACGTCAGCAAAATAAATCCTCCAATCAGAGGCTCTGTTAAAACACATCATACTGGCTTTTCGAATGGGCTCAGACCACACTTTCGTATGGGTTTTTTGTGATTTATTTTGGGCTCAGGTTATTATTTAGCCCATCTCATCAAATAAATCTACGTCTCCCGGCGTCAATAGTCTCCACCCCCGTCTCTTCCAATTCATCTTCTCCGACGTATGCGTTACCCCCATTACATTCTCAATCAATAAGGCTATTCTTCAATGTTGTGATCCATCTCCCCTTCATAATTCTCTTATATAAAGTTCTATTTTTAAGCTAAATCCATCCTAAATCAAAAAATCTAATCTGCAAAAACTTCAACCACGGGAATGAAATCCGCCGCAAAGACTCAACTTATATGAATCTGCGACACCTAATCTAATGGTTCTATGCCATTGTCGCAACCCCTCCCACACATGTTCCGGAGTTACTGAGGGATGTTGGTTTTCTAAGTGATACACGGCAGTAGCCATGATGCTCATTGGTCTTCAGCTACTCCTGATCAACGAGAATGTAAGATCTGATTTTCTGATCCCTGTCAATTTATGATGTTCTGATACATCTATCTAACATATAAATATATAATCCACATCCACATGCCTCTATTACAAGATCTGAGAGATCACAACGTTCACATAGCTCAGTATTTGGAATTATATTTCTACATGTAAGTGGCTGAGTGTTTTGAAACTTTTGGGTTTTCTACGAGTAAGCTTCGCTTTATTTTACAGATTTTCTTACAGAATCAGAGCCATTAACTATCTCCTTACCTTTAACCAAAAAAAAAAAAAAAAACTATCTCCTTACCTCTCAAGTCTCAAAACTGCCAACTCTGGTGCTGTCTTAAATGTAATCTCATTCTCTTCTCCTTTGAAAGCATGAGTAAGAAACAATATACTAGAGATTCATGAGAAAATAATACTCAAATGCTTGGCATCTTTGTGTATACAGGTCATTAATATAGAAGGTCCAAGGATCCATATATTTATTTAAGGTTTTCCAGATTTATTGAGGAATATACGATCAAACATTTTCCAAGGAGGATAGCTTCAGAAGCGTACAAATCAATGATGACTTTGATATGTAAAGATTTATGGTTCAGGGAATCAAAAACTGCCTTGAAGTTTATTTTGAGAAAGTGAGAAAAAGTTTTCTCAAAAAAAATAAGTTATATTGAGAAAGTTGTGATAATGATGAATCTAAGAATCCTTTTGCAGGTAAGGATGGTAGCGTGTCTAAGAATGTTGGTCTTCGGATTTCCTTCGAGACCATAGGTGAATCAGGTTTATATGGGAATGCATGTACAACAACATAACTCATTTCATGCAGCAAGAAACGTGGATTGAAGGTCAAACAAGACTGCTCAGCTGAATCATACTTCAATACCAAAACGTTACATCAGCTCCTGTTGATTGGTAAGAAAGATTCTTAACTTGCCAGTACAATTTCTGAATTAAGTAATAGACATGACCTCATTCCGGTAGTTTCTATTCTGCTGTTACATCTGAGAAGCTGATTTCATGAGCAATTAACCGTCAGGTACCATGAAACCCAACTAATATTTTCTTTCCAACTATTATCTCAGTTTGTAGATGCACAACAACGCGATGAGAGGAAAGTAAAACATAAATTTTCCAAAACGGAGAACGAGAGAGAGCTAGCAGTGCTTTGGTTGGAGGAGGGATGAAACTAAAGCAAAGCAAATAAATTGGATAGATATAACAAGGAGCCCAGAATGTTTAGCCAATTTCCTCAAGATCATCATTCATGTACTTTTTCGCGTAGACACATATCTTGCAAGCTTCACATGTGCAGTTCCTTCAGGATGCTAAAGAGGAAGCAGATGGAGAGGAGGTGGAGGAAGAGAGACATGAAGAAGTAATTGTGCCTCAACCCTCTCGAATGAATTTCTTTACCGGACATTTCCCAGTAACGGCCATGTCTTAACTCGTGGTCTCGGCATCTCCATCCAGTCGTTTTGTTAATTTTATAGATTTAGATACACGTGTAACGTCTATGATGAGCTTACTCTTTTGTCTAATATGAATTCTTTAATGTCCCCTCACTTTTAAATATTAGCCCTCTGTTGTAGTAATACCACTGGAACTAAAAAGACTTGGATGAAAGTTTGCTTTTTTTCTCAAGAAAAAAGAAGTTGTTTTTTCATTGGATGAAGAAGAAGCATGAAATCTTATTTGACAGCCCAGCTTTGTTTCAGGCAAGAAGAATAAAAAAAGCGAATAGAGTTAAAATTGTGAATAGAAAGACATGTTTTAAAGGGTTACAACTTACAACCGAGAGTTTTAAAACTTATCAATTATATTATTAACCAAAAAAGTTTCTTAATATATTTTAAATATTTTTTTTAAAAATAATATATTTATATCATGAAGATTTATTTTTTAAACTAGGATTTTAATAAACTCTTGAATTATATACAATGTATAACAATAACATATTATTTAAAAAGTTATTTTTCTACGTATCATGCTCAAGTTAATTCACTCGATGGTCAACTGCTTAGATAACTTAGTGAATTAAACTTATTATATAGTTGTCATTATCAAATTTGTATCTTTGTTTTTTTTCTTCTTAAAAAGAAAAAAAAAATGGAAGCACTATATGAACAATTCTTACATTATTCTTTTTAAAAGTATGTAATATTTGTGTACTGGATTAATATGAAATAGATTAACAATTAGTTACATTTTATAATAGTTTGGATTTCAATATACATATAATGTAATCTGTAATACCTAAAATATTTATTTATATATTATTTCTTTATTAGTTACGATATATAAAATATTTACGGATTAAAAATATTTACCTTTTTGAAAATAAGTGCTATTAACTATTAAATTTTTAATTGGGAAATCAAATTTTCATTTTTATTCTTATAATGTTAGTTTTAGGCAACATATAAAAACTATATACGTTTATAAAGTACTTACTAAGATGAATAACCAAAATAAATTAAAATAACAAAGTTATCCACATTTTAGCTTAAATATAACTAATAAAACAGTTACTTTGCAATTAAATATGTTTTTAAATAAATAACCAAATTGGTGTGAATTCTTATACCAAAAAATATATGTCAAACTAAGTTTGCAATATAACTACATAATTCTATTAATTTTTAAAGACAAAAATTATAAACCTTCTTAAATTTAATAAACCAGTAAAAGCAAAACATTAATCAATTGTTATGATTTAGTTGTTTATGATACATAAATGTGTATGACTTTGTAGAATATCACTTATTATATTGGTTAGTGCAACTCTAATTAAATTAACACTTACATTTTTTCATTTTTCTCCTTCCTCCTAAAACAAAATATATATTAAATAATAAATGTTGTTAGGAAAAAATACATTTACAAATTAATAGGATGAAACTAACTAAATATAATTAAATTAACATGATTTAATATATTTAAAACCAAAACAAATGATCATTTATTTAAAATTATATATAATCTAATATACCGAAAAAGAAAAACTACACCAATCTAACTGTTATATGCGAAATCACATACTAAATTGAGATACAAATAATTTATTTAAACATAATATTATATTTACTTATCATACATATTAACTATAAAAGGATTAAAAATTGTTATTATTTTATGTAAATATATAATACTTATGTTTTTGTTAAAATTACTTTAAGGATATACACTTAAAGATTCTAATATTTGTACTAACTAAGAATTTCAGAACTTCTTAAAAAATCTATAAATAATTGTATTTATAATTATTGTAAAGTTAAATATCAAAGTTTAACACAAACATATAAAAACGTGAAGGGAATGGGATACATAACCATATCTGAATTTTTAAAATTAATTTACTAAATAATGCTAAAATTTATTACTCACCTCCTCACCAAAAAAAAAAAAATTTCGATCCCATTATATATGTTATCAGCAGCTTCAAAAGGACACAATAAATCAAATTAATTCACTTGGAAAGAAAAAGGTAATAAAACACACAAAATATCATAGTAGAAGAATAACTTCAAATCTAACAAGACAAAAATGTCAACAAAAAAACTATCTTCATCTTTTTAGCGAGAATTTTGGTTCATGTTTGCAGACCTATATTCATAAAAATATATTCAAAAAAATTGGAATAAAATTATAATGCATAATCCGCGCGTAGCGCGGACAAAGAATCTAGTGTATTCTAAAACCTCATTGTCATAGGGTTGATTATCAGTAAACCATTTCTTACATTTGTAAATGGAAAGTAGTGTCAACCTTGAAAAAAATAGGGGAGGTCTTTTAGAAAGAAATTAGCTACTTTGATGGATTATATTCACAAATTGACGTTGAGAAACACGAAAGTAGAATTTTATTTAAATGGGGTGGGTCCAATAGTTCACGTAGTATGCAAGGTAAGAAAATGAGAAGATAAAAAGACAAGATGATATGATTCAAGATATTACATGGCTAGAGAGCTAAGCTCTGCATGGGTTTCTGCCATTACGCACTTTCTCCGGCATTCCTACTGAAAATCAGCACCGCCAATAGTTGTCCCCATTCACAGGCATGACAGTTTTTGAGGATGTTGCTCCTTCTGTATCTCGACAAGAACCCATCCAGCAAAGGTACCAGGGGCTACTTTAGACACCTCATTGGACGGTTTAGATGAAACAGCCCCAGCTCCATGCATATCATCTCCGAGATTGTTATCATCACCCCCTGGGTATGAACCATACAACACCATGAACAATTTATATAACCATAAGGAGAGAACAAATTTAGCGCGGACAAACTTACATTTTCTGCAAAGTTTGGCTATAGTGGTGAAATCTTCAACTGAAAACTGAAAGTGCTGCACACCAAATATTTAACTCACTGTGAGATGGTTCTTAGCTATGGCTTCTCAACACCTAGATCCTGCAAGAAATGACATTCACGTATTCAGTGGAGTTGTTAATCTAAGAAAATTTTGCCATGATTTCATTGTGGTTGTCATTGGTGTTACAATTAGTAGGGAAACATATACTGCATGTGCATTGGTTAGCTTGGTCATCTCTCCATCAAATGCCACAAAGATAGCATTTTCTGCTCCATCAGGAACTGAGAACTGGACATGTACGTGAAAAGAACAACATGGTCAACGCATAACTGTGGTTGGTAAATTACTGCTTCACATAGGCAGCCTAAATATCTTGTTGTTGCGTTGTAGGATTGATCATATAAGGACCCCAACTGCTTCGTGATGGTAAGCTCAACATGTGAACGATGTGAATCCACCTTGAAGATTTCTTGAGCACTTCGAGCAGGAAGTGAGGCACCAACCATTTGTAGTATCAGTAGCATCAACTCACCAGTACAAAAGAAATACACAGTCTGTTCATAATAAAATTTAAAAAGATTTAAGTTTACAGAGATGATGCACTGATGTAGGAGGAGAAACTCTTTTCATAATGAACTTAAGAAATCACAGATTCAGTAAAGAAGTAATACCTTCTCATTTACCAAAACCACATCAACCCCCATGAGCTCTCTACCTTTCTTCACCTTCCTTTCTTCCCTAAAAGGAAAGACACATGTCAGAAAGATATCTTTACATCTCACTGCCTTCAACTTGGACAGAACCACTTGAGGATTGACTATATTAGTCTACGCTCAATAAGATAGTAAGCTATGGAAGATTGATGGCAGAACGAAAGAGCTTTCCGGAGAACTCTTCTGCAGCCTCATATACATAGTGTTTGAAATGTTGAAGAAGGTAAGCTGGAAGGCTGAGAAATCGATTATGAGCTTAGCTTCAATGCAGTCAAGACACACTACTTTTCCTTAAAATACATCAGTTTTCTGAAGAACCAAAAAAAAATGGAGAATCTATATTATAATTTATAAAAGTGATTTTTCAAGGAGAATGGTAAAAAGAGATAGTAGTCAGTTTCTGAAACACAATCAGAGCTTACAATAGGATAATAGTCGCAGCCAGAGAGTGAGAGTTAAATCATACAGAAAAAAAAAGCAAAGGCTTTGGAAAGATGAATAGTTATCAAGCAAAACCTGTAGCAGCAATATGTTTATCTTCAAGCTTGTTGATAGAAGAAGAAATAGCATCAGAGGGACGCTTTGCTATTGAAGCCACATGCTTGTGAAAGAATGCATCTAGTAATAACTTCTCAGAAACAAATGCAACAAATTCAAACCTTATATATATAGAGTGTCATATAAACACAACCGATTGAGAAAAAAGAATCTCATATGGTAATCAAGTTGGCTCTGGACCTCATCAACATCATCATCTTCCAACTCATACAAAGATCGCTTCAAGAAGGCGCTCATGGGGGCATTTTCTTCATCCTCGACGTCCTTTTACTGAACACGCTTACTTCGGGATCTTCTCCGTTAGCTGAAAAAACAAAGCTATTAACGAAACCCACCAATCAACAAAAGCATCTGAAACTTCTCACCTTACAGCTTTTGCAACAATTCATTGTGCGGAGGCGGCAACAACATAGATTGCTTTCTAGATTTAATCAAAACAAAGAAAGGAAATACCAAACAATACGTACCAATTCATTGATGAGGCGGCCAACAACAGTCTGGGTGGTTCTTCCAAGGCGGAGGGAGTTGAAGGTGGAGGTTGCGACGGCGGAGGTAGCGATTTGAGAATCTGATGAAGCCATTTTTGTAGCGATTGCAGAGAAAAATTGGAGAAGAAAAGTTGAGAGGGTTAAAAGCTTACCCCGTACACTACCTTTATGTATAGGAGGATCGATGGAAAAGGCGTTACGTGAATACTCGTACCCTCGGCAGTGAACTTCACTTGCATCGAAGAATCAAGTTACAGAAATGGGATCTGGAAGATAGGAAAAAATAACCTACGCTTAACAGGATTAGAAACAATGAATCCTAACTAATAAAAAATATACAGACTCAAAAACAAATAAAATTTCCACATCAGTACTATTAACTTGGGAACATATTAGTTCAGTCCATTTTTTATAACTGTATCTACTTTAATTATATCACTACCAGGTACTCTTTATATGTAACCAAAAAACAGTTATGTTTTTTTTTCAGCCGAAATCAGTTTGATAATTATTATTCATTTTCGGTGAACATTTAATTTTCATGATTTAACCCAGGTAGAAAGTAGAAACTCAGGAAAGAAAAAAACAGCTATATTTCTCAGAAATTATTCATGCAATAATTTGTAAACTGATGAGTTTTCATATTACCAAGAAATTGATTATTGATTTACCAATTTATATATATTGTTCAATGGTTCGAAAACATGGACAACACAGCTGATTGCAGGATGGTGGAGCGCTAGGTGGTGACTGTTAGTGGCGATTCCATCAAACTCTGCCTACAAATCGAGTTTATCAAAATCATTTAAGTTTTTGTGTGTTTAGATGTTTAAAACTGGATGTTAAACAACAAATCTTCAATTTTGATGGATAAATGGAAAGGAAACAGCCAAAAAATATCGATTACGTTGAGATGGTATGGCGGTGGAGATCACTTTTTACATAAAGATAGAAGCCCTTAAGGAAAAACATGAAATATTTACATGTTTGCCATTAATGAGAGAAAACAATAAAAGCGACAAATAGATACAGATTCGAACAAATGCCATATATAATAGGCCACCTCTATTACAACTAGACCACTACGATTCTTTGGCTTCTTATCGAAATTATATTTAGAAATAAATGTGTTTTTTTCGTGAAAGTTAAAAAAACATTTAAAAACTGATTCTCGATTAATCTCTGATTAGTTTCCAATCTATACTATTAAAACAGAAGGCCCTTTTTTCAGGCGCCCTTCTGTTTCAACAATATTTACAGAACAATGCCACTACATAATTTTTTAAGTTATGCTTTGTATTAAAGCGGTTTTACCCGATGCAAGTGGGTTTGACCCGATAGAATATTCTAAAACAATACTTTTTATTTAATTATGTTTTCTGTTTTTCTTTTATTTATGCAGCAAAAATCACACATTTAATTAATATAACCCTTTTCATTTATTTATATATGCTTTCGAGATAACATTGCCTATATATTTGCATGATATAACACATATATATTTGTCATGTANTTACTATCTCATTAAAATGATGAATCGACGTATTTAGTAATACATAATTACGAGTAATCCTCTGCATATTTTGTTTTATTTATGCTTATTCTTTAGAATATACCGATTGTAGCATTTCGAATAAATTTTTTCTACGATTATGATATCGCAACCGATTCCGAACCATAACGAATTTAACAAATTTGTTTTGTAAGTCGAATTTTTTTTCTTAAATAAAAAAATATCTTTCTTAGCATAAAATTCTGTTTGTGCAATCTTAACTAAAGTTGTAATCTATTCATATAATAATCAAATCAATAATTATATATATATATATAATTAAATAAATAAATAAAAACTAAACTTTACTCAAATAAACTAAAATCTCGGTAAGTTGTTAAATTAAAAAACAAATATAGTAGATCGTAAATAGCTGAGCAATCTAAGTATTATCATATATTTAAAATATCAGTAACAACCAATCATAACATAGAAATCACAGCATTTAGTAACTTAAATCTATATAATTAAAACAATAAAATCTAATCTACCATATTTTGAATAAACTTGATCCGCAATATCACAAAACACACGGCTAATTTTAACACATACAATTTATAATGAATTTAGATTTTAACGCATACAGTTTATAATGATTTAACAAATTTCATTAACACACATTAAATGAATTTCAAGGTTTTAAATATAATTTAGCAGATCAAACTGGTATTCATTAGAAATATATTATTCTTATCTACAACTAACTACTAACGTGAATCTCTAACAAATCTATTGTTGTTACCATATATTCTATAATAAATACTTAACAATAATATCTTAGTATCTAACTTAGTTTCAAAAGGTAATATTTAACTAAGTATGTATTTTGATCACAATTATGATCTGGAAAAAATGATATTTTGGACATTTATAATTGCATCTTTTTCGCTAACAATAATGTGAAAGTATATATGTATAATCAAAAAGAGAAGTACCATTTTTATCTACCATTAAGAAGTCTTACTAGGTCCATTTCATTAATTGCATAATATAACATAATAATCAATAAAATATTAATAATAAATCAATTTTGATTATTAATTTTAA